AAATATATTTATACCCCATCTCTTTCTTTGATACATGAAAGGGGCAAAAATAAGATACATAATAAGGACTCTCTTCTACAATATGTGCATCAAGACAACATAGTATTTTTTTAATAGCATATTCCATTAAAAAAACTAGCACAATTTTAAATTTTTTTTGAGAAAATAGCATATATTGATGAGTTATGCTATCAAAAACAATGCAATCTAGTAGATTGCACTGTTGGTAACAACACAACTCAATTTGAAGGGAAGATTTTTCAAGTATAATTTTTTTCATGGTTCTTCTCTACATATTTAGAAAATATTTTTTAAATTATGATGCTTGCCCTATACATAAGCTTCCTATTATATTACTCAAGGTTTCCACCCCTCATCTCATACAAATAAAATTCAATGAACTCGCTATAATAACCGAGTATTTTTATAAGTTTTTGTATATCAATATAACAAAGATTTGGAGACCAGTAATGAACCAAATTTAATGGATTTAAAACCCCTAATAGCCCAAAAGAAACAACCATGGATCTTAAGTAGCACACTTGGACCTATTTTCCGCCTCTAACAAGTTTAAGCAAGTTGCTTAAACCCAATACTCCCTCGATAATTCATGACTTCCACGTAAGTTCCTCAATATTTCATATTAATCCATTACATATTATTTTAAATTGAATACAACTCAAATTATCACAGGAATAAAATAAGTTTTCAACCATTTCTCTACATAAAAAAACAAGATTTATGAGATATAAATATCCTATAAATCTTACAAGCTTAACGCTTATAATTTCTTTATTCTCAATATTTTTAGAGTTTATCTATCCAAAATATCATTAAACTCTCTATTTAAAAAGAAACTTAAAGCATTTGTGTGTCTCTAAATTTATAAAAGATGATATTTTACAAGTACCAGCAACCAACTATATTGGTCTACAAAGCACCAACTATAAGCTACTAACCACCTTACCTAGATAGAATGGATCAGATTGCTAAAACAAACAGATTAATCGATTATGCAACGCGTATATCTTGTTTCTAAGCTAATTGGATTTTTTTGGACCTCATCAACCATAATCAATTGTTCCACTGTTATCAATATTAGTATGTTAAAGGCACCCACAAAAGCATGCCCTTGTTCAATTTTAAATTAATAAAATGGTTGAGAAAACAAAAATGAAACTACAAAGGGTTTGCTCAAGTTATCTTATGACATCCATCATATTTTTTATCTCGGACTCCATTAATTCGGATCCTACTCGCTCTAAGTTATCTTTTTATTCATCAAGAGTTATTATTCTACGGTTGTCATATCATTTTAAACATCTCTTTCTAACCACCGATCTTTTCTTTAAAGTCTCTTTGTTATAAATTAACATTCATTATAAGACTTAATATGCATCAATAACAAAAAAAAAGCTTAAGTGCTAACATACAAGAATTATACAAGAAGCAAACCTCACAACTAAGAATAAAAACCACCCAAAACAATAAATAAATGGTGGTGAAAAGGTGATTTAAAAATTCAATATACGATGTACTATTCTAAAAATAAATGTACAAGATTACATACAAAGGAATATACATTCGTGTTGATTAATAACTAATTTATGATTGCAAGTCATTTATCAAGCGCTTATATTTCTGAGATCTGTGATACAAAAGAGTACACAAAGCTTACATAAGCCATTATTTAGGGTAATGTTTGATTATTATCTTAGGATAATAAAGATAGAGATAATGGAGACACGAGAAAAAAAAATGTAGATACAGAATTGTGTTTGATAGTGATATATGAGAGAAAAAAAAAAAAAAAATGCAGATACAGAATTGTGTTTGATAGTGATATATAAGACAAGAAAATTATCTTTATCTTATTTGATTATGATGAATAAGATAAAATAAAATATTAAAAAATTAGGTTAGTTGAGCTGACCCTCCTAACTTATGACTTGAATCTTGTCTCAAGTCAACTTTTAAGTTGAGTTTTAAATTATGATAATAACTACTTGTATCTATATATTAACTTAGATCAACCCGTATTGACCCTCTTGACTCGTGATCTAGGTCTTACCTTGTTTAATTATAATAATAAATATTATTTTTAACAATATATTTTTTTTTCACCTATTGTTTTGAAATTACTGGAATTTACTCAAAGAAAAAATAACAATAATGAATTGCACGTTCAATCAAAATCATTGAAAAATAAGATAGAAATTAACCTTATTTCAAGGGCGACACATATAAAATACCTTGTTCCAAACAAAAGGAAAAAACGGTTTCTACATGACAGAGACTAAAACCAACATTCTGATCCAAGTTGCTGTTACAGATGACTCGTTCAGGCGTGTCTTCCACGGAAACAAAGGGGCTTCTCTCCCATTAATTATTGTTGTGAAACATGCAATGCACAATTGCCGGTTGACAAGAGGACTAGCCCCCCGTCGTCAACCACGTGTCTCGTGTCGTCGAATCGACAAGTGATCAATAAGAATAAGCCAGCTAATCAATCCGTCTCTTCTTAGGGTGTCTAAACCCTACGGTTAATTCATTAAGCTAATCAAATGTTTTATTTTATTTGCAATTGTTTGTAAAATGTTAACATTAAAAGCAATAAAAAGAATTTTAACACCGAATCATAGAAAGGTTTTTCCTATAATTAAACACACCTTCTCCCACACGTTTCATAAGGAAGATTTTAAATATATTCATGTAAAAAATGTTTATAAATAAGAAAAAAAAACAATAAATAGAAATAATCATAAATAACATTCTAAAAATCTTGAAAATAAATTATTTAAATATTAAATTTTTTTAAAAAATCAAAATCAATTCAAATCAACCTGATTCGATTCAGTTTTTTTATTTGGCTTAGTTTTGGATTAGGTTTTTCTTTTTCAATTCAGTTAAATTTTTTCAGTTTTAGTTTTATAAAATTAAAATCAAATCAAATCGATTAATTTTTTCAAAAATTTTATTATTTTTTTTATGATTTGATCTTTTCAATTATTTTTTAGTTTTTTTTTAATTTAATCAATTTTCCAGTTTTTTCCTCACTCCTAATTAATAGAATCAGTTTTTTTATAGTTTTTTTTATTTTTTATATAAATAATAAAAAAAATTAATATTTTTTTAATTAGTTTACAATAAATGCATGTCTTGACTTTCTTGGTCGGCGCCATGAAGGCCAAAATTTGTGGGTCCGAGAGTTGAGTAATTTTCACAAGTGTGTGCTGTCTGTCTTTTTGTTTTTTTTCAAGCTTGCCTCGTCTCCAAGCCCGCACTTGGCTGGCCTGGCCCTTTGCTGACAATTTTTTTTTTTGACACTCCAAGATTTTACAATTAAGTATTATTATAAATAGTTATTACGACATAGAAACTAATAATTTCTAAGTTGTTTGATGTAGTTATACAGCCACCAACACCTTCCCTGTCTATGTTCTTGACATGTCGTTCCAGAAAATATATTATGCTTAGGATCAGTCATTATAAAAATCAAATTTGCTTGAATGAGAGAGAGCGTACAATCAAATTTTAAATTGTGTACTTGAGGAGTTGTTAATTATCCGATTCGTTTTTCAATTTTCCACCATAAGTTTGAACTTGAGGGAAGGGTCTCGAAGTTAATAACTCGTCGAAATCTTTGCCGAACTTTTGGTATCGAAATAAGCTTAGCTTATGAGCTGCTTGATATCCTAGATTTTGTGGACTAAAAACTGGAGTGACTTTCACTTAATCTTATTATAATCCATAGACCTGACCTCCACCGACCACCTTAAAGTTTCACATAAAATCCTAACTCGATCCTCAAAACCTAGGACCCACTCAAACCCGAACCTTGATACCTTATACCAGGTCTTAGACAGACTTTGGGATGCTCCTGACCTGGTCTTGAATCGACTCGTATGCATCCTAAAAACTCGTATGCCCAAGAGTTGATCGCAGATGTACTACTAAGCGTTATCTCAGGCACCAGCCCCAACATCGTTTTGATCCAAACCCGAGGAGCCATAGACCTAGTCTTAAATCAACTCTCGGATAGCTTGGACAAGGTTCTAGACCGAACCCCGGACCCTAAACATGATCACAACCAAAATTCCTGGCCACCTAAACCAAGTTCTCATTCAAACCTCAAGCACCTCATACGTTGTCCTTGCTAGAATATTAGACACCTCAAATTAAAGTGGTCCCGGCTTAAATTTTACAAGCCTCACACTAGTTCTTGCATTGAATCTCGTGTGCTTTGAACTAGGTGCCAATCTGGATCTCGAGTGCTTTGACCTTTTGAATCTGAGCTGACATCGAAAATATTAGATCATAATATAAAAAAATTAGTTTTGAAAACCTTTTTCTTAAAAAAAAAAAGTGGTTTCTGGTTCTCAGAAGTTTTCACAACTTGTTGCTAATTTTATTTTTCTGAAAACAAACGAGTTTTCATTATTTGTTTTCAAAATTTTTGAAAGAAACAATCCCTTTGCTTCTTTTTTTAGAAAAAACATTAATTTCTAATTGTATGAAGAGTGTCTTTACCCAAGTAACTATAAAAACGAGCCCTTCGAGTTTCAAGTAGTTGTTGATAATCTCATGAATTTTAATTACAGATTAAATTCTTAAAACCTTTCAAGCTGAAATGTTTTTCAATCAGGTCACGGCAAAACGATAAGGAAACAAACCACACTTAATAAAAAAAATCAGATCTGCCAATCAGTCTAAAAACTTCCGATCATCAATATCCTAAAAAACCATTAATTAGTAGTTCGATACGTTAGGAATTGAAATACGTTGACTGTGATTTCATTCAAATTTCTTATGTGATTGTCATAGCCGAAATTGGTACAGTACCAAAAGCTGTCCATTGTCTACGAGAAGACCCGTATGCATGAAAAACAAAACAGCCCCACCAGTATTTCCCCGGTCCCCAGACGGCCAGACGTTTCTGAAAAGCATCTAACCATATTATGTATTTTGCTTTTTTGCCTTTGCTTTCTACCATACAGATAAAAGCCTGCACTCAAATTAAACACAGACCAGAGCTAGTTCTGCTGTCTTTTTTCTTCTTCCTTTCTTTTGTGGGTTAGAAGCTAGCTAGTATTGCTGTAGGTATATACATTGATGGAGCACAACCTTAGTTCATCAAGAACTGACAGGAAATTAATAGAGAGGAATAGAAGAAATCAAATGAAGGAACTCTACTCCCAGCTTAATTCTCTTGTACCCCATCAAAGCTCAAGGGTTTCTCTCTCTCTCTCTCGCTCTCTCTCCCTCATTGTTCACACGTTATTGTTGTGTATAGTATAACATGAAAGCTCTTTTAGTTATGATCTTTCTAGCTCTGATCTTTTTTTTGTTATTTTTCTTTCTTTTTTTATTATGGGGATTGCGGTGCAGGAGCCAGTGCTGTCAGTGCCTGATCAACTAGATGAAGCTGCAAGCTACATAAAAAGGTTGCAGACTAACTTGGAGAAGTTGAAGGAAAAGAAAGACAGTTTAATGGGAATGGAAAAGGCAGATTATACTAGCAAGAATAGTGGTAGTGGAACAACAGCCTGTTTAAGATCACCACAAATTAAGGTTATTGAAATGGGTTCCACTTTAGAGGTTGTTTTGATGAATGGCCTGGACAGTCGGTTCATGTTCAATGAGATCATTCGTGTGCTTCATGAAGAAGGAGCAGAGATTATTAATGCCAGTCTTTCTGTTGTAGAAGATACTGTATTCCATACAATACATTCTAAGGTATAGCAGCTACCTAGGTGATAATTTTTTTATTAATTTTGCTTGACAATTTATTTTCTGCACTTTTTAATTAAGAATATTGATTGTTTATAAGTTGTAGAGTTCTTCTGTAACTTAAGTCCTTTCAAATTAATTGTGCAGGTTGGAGATTCTGCCCACAGTATTAATGGAGCTGCGAGGATATCTCACAGGCTAAAGAAGTTTGTCCAAGACGATAATGAGTTTTAAATTGTAATTTGAGATTTGCTGGTTAAGTTAAGTATTCATGGAGATCTCATATGCATGAGTTTCCTACCCAGAAGACTGACTCAATCATGTCGAATATTTGCTTCTTGCCAATATAATTAAAGATTATTAATATATTGTTCTTTCTTCTGGCTATCGATTTGGGCTCTTTTCATGTGGGATAGAACTGATTGATACATAGATTAGATACGATATCAAAGCTATATATATATTATTTCAGAATTTTATATATGGTTTATATAAATCTAGCCACCATTAATATTATTATAACTTAAGTAGACTACTGGAAAATATTCAATTAATTATTAACCAAAATATCTTCACTTCATAATAATTATTTCTTGTTGTTTGAATAGATTAATGTATTATTTCCTGTCTCCCAGAATACACGGAAACAAAAAACTGTGTTTATTTCTTTTGAATGCATGGTCTTGAAGTTTGACGTGTATGGCGTGATCGGTTGAATGCATGGTCTTGAGGTTTGGCGTGTATAGCGTGATCGGATGAGTCAACTTCGATCAGTACTGCAAAAAACTGCTTGCGCATGTTTAGCACTCTGGGCTTTGGGCGGCGCACAGTATATTATTTTATTAAATAAATTCTAAATTACATTTTTAAATAAATTTTAAATTAATATAAATTTTAAAATAAAATGGAATAAAAAATCAAAAAAATAAAAATATTAATTTATTAAATGTATCATGTAAATCTAAATATATTAGATATATTCTATTAATTAAATATAAAAGTTAAACATAATACGAATATATTAGATAGATAATAAAAATATAATAGTAGTGGTTCTAAAAGAATATATGGTGTAATTATTTATAAATAGAATTGAGAAAAAATATGAATATGGTTGAATAGTAAAAAAAATATGAAAAAGAAACTATAATATTAATAGTGCTGGTAGTGTTTATATATACATATAATTCTTTTTTAATTAAAAATCAATTCAAATAAAACATATTAACTCTAGGATCAAATTAGAGCAATCTATGTGCAAGAGCATCTCCTATTTTCTATTTTGAAAAGGTAAATTGATAAAATAACATTTTGAATAATATAAATGTAATTTTTTTTACTATATATACTCTAATAAAAAAACCATATGAAAAGTCAATTCTATTAGAGTGAAATAAATACTTATTTATTCTTAATGATTTTGATGTTATTTTTTTTACATAACTATATTTAATTGATTTATTTTTTTAGCCCTACTTTGTTAATTTGTTAATTTTAACTCTTTTAAAAGATATATAGGGATAATATTTGTGAAAAAAAAAATTCTAGCATTTTATTTAACTTTTCCCTTAAAATATAAAAAATAAATATAAATTCAAAATATTATTCTTTTGTTTTTGACTTTTCATTTAGCACCTCCATTAGAGACGCTGTAAGTGGGGAAGGTAGCTGGCAAGCTAGGATTCTTTTCTATAATATTTTCTGAGTCCATATGTCTAGATTGTGTTGGTAGATGAGTTATTGAGGCATGAAAAACATGTCAGGCATGAAAAAGGCTGGCTATTTGACCAATTGAGTTAATGGTTTACGTCATCACGGTGACGATCGACTTGCGTGTGAATTTCATTTAAGTAGATTTTTGCTCAAGCTGAGCTGCGGGTGAAATTACTTTCTAAAAATTTATTAAAAAATATTAAGTATAAATATTTTTTTACAATATTATTAAATTAAATTTGGCAATATAATTTTAAAACTTATTAATTCAACTTCTTACTGGAATATAAATATAATATAATTGCTAAATTTAAATAGATTAATATAATATAATTGTTAAATTTAAGATTTTTTAATTTTGCTAGTCATGTCAGCTTTAAATGATATGGGCTTAATAGTCGTACCAAACTTAAGTGACCTGGACCTGATAATTATATCAAATTCATAGCTGCTAGGTCTAATAATCATGTCAGACCTGAAACGTGTAAACCTGATTAATTATATTTAACTCAATCAAACAAATAATACAATTATGCATTTTAGTTTAGGAGAGAACAAAAAAAACACAAACAATTAATTACCAACAACAATCTAATTATTATATATTTATATACACCGTTTCATATGGAAGAGAGCACGACTTCAATCTTATTAAACAATTGATGGCTAGAATGGGCTGCCAGAAAACATCGTATATGTCTTCTTAATGTTGCAAGTATTGCCCCTTATTGGAATGTATAGAACACAAGTCAACAGTTTTCTGATCAAAAAATAAAAATACAATATAAAAATATTGAAATGTGTTTTTTATGATCCTTTTAATTATACAAAATATCATGTAAAAAATACTAAAATATTCTAAAAAAAAGCTTTTTTTTTCTAAAACTAAAAATGTTATTTTTCTATACATAAAAATTAAAAAAACATAAAATACTCCTGTCCGTCAACTTATTATTTTTTTATCTGCTTTATTTTTTTATCTTGAAAGCAAAAAAGTATTTTTAATGTTATAAATATTATAAAAAGTTAAGAAAATATTTGATTAACAGTTATAAATTTAGTTGGCTGTAGATGTAAAAAAATTGAAAAAAACAAAAACATCCCAAAAAAAACAATTTTTTAATAACAATTTAGTCAAATAAAAAAACTCAAATACTCTTAAACTAAAAAATAAAAAGATAATTTTACTATTACAATTCATAATAAATTCATAATAAGTGTTTAAAACTACAGCAAAAACTCCAGAACTTTATAATGGTCGGTTGCTTTAAAATTTCCAGTAAAATTCTAAAGGGTATATTTAATTCATCGGAAATCCGTACAAAACTTTATTGGAAGTGAACCCTTTTTATTATATAATTATAATTGAAAAATTATAGATACGAGTCTTATTTCATGAAGCTTTCAATATCAAAGTCATTATACTAACTCCTTGTTTGTTCCCAAGAAAACCATTTTCTAGAAATTATTTCCTTTACATTTTTATATTTGATAAACTTCAGAAAAATAGTTTCTTATGAAAAAAAAAAAGTAATGTAAACCTTATTTTTTTATATTTTATTTTTTTTTTATTAAAAATTATATATATATATATATATATATTGTTTTGATATGTTATCTTGAAAATATTTTTTTTAAAATATTATTTTAATATATTTCTAAATAAAAATTATTTTAAATCGTAATCATTCTTATAATTCTAAATATATCAATAATTTATTATATTAACTTTGACAACTTTCCAATCACTTGATGATTGGGAACAATGAGATTTAGACCATTAAAATTCATTTTTTAGTTATTTTTTTGCCATTAAAACATTTAATTTTTTATAAAAATTTCATTCTCGACCTCATAGCATACTTTAATAAACCAAAATAAATTGAAAAAATCTAATTACATTTTTGAGTTCGAATCTCCTTTCACCTATTAGTTTTGAACCTCCAACCATAATCAATAATCTCTGGTCGTTAAGTAGAATCCATTGAAACCACCATCCACTGTTTTCATATCTTAATTTTAATAGAATATGCCATTCATCATTAATAAAATACACTTCACCCCCCCCAAAAAAAAAAACCTTGAGGAGGAAGGTTATTAAGAAAAACTCTCAGGTACTTATGACCATAAACTTGAAAAAAACTAATGAAATTTGTGTTTTTTTTTAATTGGAGATTTTGAAATTGATAATTTAAAAAATTTACAATATTGCTAATATTTATTTTCTATTTCTTTATCCTGATATTGTTTATCCCGTTAAAAAATCATATGAGATGATAATTACATTATTTATTCAAGGTTTGATTTTTAAATTAAAGAAAATTAACATGATTAGCTCAAATCAAGAAAAAATTTGCAAGCTTTAATTACATCTCTTTCTATCATGATATTAGCTTAAACATCATGCAGACTTTTCTAACATGTTGGATATTAGTTCAAGAAGAACATTTAATTTATGATAAAAAAATAAAAAATAAAAAATTGGAGCCATGATATTTTGAATATAGACTTCTTTATTAAATTAATTTCGATGTTATATTCACCTTTTCAGTAATTTATATTGCAATATTTAAAAAATTATAAAAACATCCATCGCATAGAATGCATCAAGGATAATATTTTTTTTTTTAAAAAAAAAAGATAAAAAAAGGTTGTATAAAAATAGGAATGAGATATATTTAAAAAACAAACACAATAAAAAAGAATAAAAACAAAACAATGGATCGGGCGATTGCAAGCTCAAGCGATGAAGAGCCTGGGCTCAGCGAGGTTGGCCTGTATGCTAGAGCTTGGGTCAGGGAAGGGTTTCTGAAAAATAGCAGATGATGTGCCAGGTCGCTCGTTTCCAAGCGATGCGTCGTCCATTTGTCATCTCACTGCAACATGCGATCATAAAAAAATCAAGGTGCATGGCTATTGTTTGCAAGCAATTCTCATATTTTGTTGAGCATGCTGCAGGTGAAAGAAATATCAAAATTAGTTCATTATTTATCCACAAGCAAAATTGAACTCTGATCCATATATATAAAAAAATTAATTGGAGAAATAAAGCTGAATGCACTGACCAATAAAAACAACTAGTATTATATCCAATAAAAAGATTTATTATCTAAAAAAAATATTTTTTTATTTTATAATTTTTATTTTGCGCACGAATAAAGATTACGAAAAGTGTTTGCTAATGTTGGTCGCTTGGCAGGAATACTACAAAGTTTTATTTTCTAAAAATAAAGATATATTTTGCAGAGTAAAACTTCTGAAAATAAACATCCT